AGAAGCAGACATTAGCAATTACTTTCAATAAAACCATCGTTTTGTCCCTCGTCCTCTGCATTTCTACGTACCTTCTATAACGTGTAGAACGCGTTGCTTCAGTTTGAATTGTGTCATGGGCCGCGTATTGAAGGTGAGAAATTCCCTCTCGAATTCCTCAGCGTCGACCACCAACTCGTCGGTACACAACTCTGCCCGTGTGTAAATATCCTTTGGCAGCCATTTCAACACTAGCTCACTAGCTATAGCACCGAGCAATGCAACACCTCTTGCAACTACACAAAGTGCAACATGCCACGCCAATTGCTGAACTTCATATGCTTGGCAATAATGCGCGCAGCCAAGCGGCTCACGCGTTCATTGAAATCCGATGAGGCGGCTTTGTTCTTTGCCGCCCGCCAGAGTGTTGGCCACAATGAAGTATACACCAGCCGGCAACTATTTAGGTGTAACATGCAGCTCCGGATGGAATACGATGAATTTTGCGGAACTAGCTTTGGCCAGGTAGGCGATGGCCTGATCCTTGCCGCCGCTCTGTGTGTTTATGTAGCGTACACAGCATTCCAATATGGCGGCCAACTGTTTGCGTTCCAAGGGCAATTAGTGCACATATGCCGTGGCCAACACAGCGGCGCTGACCAGTGCACTGGCGCTGCTCAAACCCGAAGCGGGCGGAATGTTGCCGCTCAATGCGATATGTATGCCGATGGGCCGCGTTAGTTCACCGTTGTTCGCTTATTGGATTTGCTCATAGATGGCCTTCACAGCGCACAAATAGTAATTATACCATTTCGGTGCACCATTTTGCGATAAATCATTGCTATGTGCAAAAAGTGTGAAAATGTTAGTTTGTAAGTAAAATGAATGTAATGAAAGTTGCTTAAATATTGCGACCGCCAACAGTATGTAATAAGCAGTAGAAATTGGTAAGACAAGGTAGCCGCAGTAGTACACATGTTCGCCAATTAAACTTTGCCAACAGGTATAATTTCGTCCGCCTACTCGTACTGAGAATTGAGAAGTTAAGTTCTCTCTACCCGAACACAAACCAAACTCTATAAGTTACGCATTATTCCAGTCCTGCTAAATGGTGCAGAGGCACGAACGATGGCAACATCTCATGAGCCGAGGTTACGAGTTTTCGATAGAAAGCTTTTGAGGAAGATTTATGGTCCTTTGCGCATTGGCCTCGGCGAATATGGCATTCGATGGAAACTTGAGCCGTACGAAATATATAACAACATTGACATAGTTCAGCCAACTAAAAAACTGCGGCTACGCTGACTATCCATCCATAACATTAACCATAAGAATATCTGTTAGAGGAATACAATTTGCAGAAATAATTTTTTTTAGGTATAGCACCTCTCATTATAAAATGGTCGAATGTAGACCATAATTTATGAATATATCAAATACATAGGCATCGAATATGAGGCCCTTTTTCGATTAATAAATTTAAGATACCATAATGAAAATATGTGAACAGCATTTCTTAAAAATGCTTAGTACAGTACTTCTTCTAGCTCTCGTATACTGAATATAAGTTACTATTGATCTTACCATATACCATAAATATTCGTCGATTTTATAACTAATTTAAATAAGTATATTTTTTTAGGTCTACTGTACTGTAAAAGAGAGAGAGACCGAAATGCGTCAGCAAAAAGAGCTTGAGAAGCTCACCGACAAGGGAACACGTCTCCAGCCTGCTGAATGGCAGTAAAAGTATAACGGCAGGAGATGAAGAAGTTCGAATAGCAACTACCCGTCTGAATAACAACAAAACGGCGGGGTCCGATGAATTGTCGGCCGAGCTATTCAAATAAGGCGACGAAGAACTGATAAGGTGAATGCATCAGCTTCTTTGTAAAATATGTTCTGACGAAATCATGCCCATTGGCATTTAAGTGTGCTGTACCCAATCCACAAAAAGAAAGACCCCTCTATAAGGTTCTGTTGGGAGAGTACTGTGCAAAAGATTAAAGCCCACCATCAACAAACTGATCGGACCTTATCAGAGTGGCGTTAGGCCTGAAAAATCAACTACGCGCCACCTCCTTCGTCGATTTCAAGGCTGTTTTTCACAGCACGAAAAGGAGCTTCCTGAATTTGGTATCCCCACAAAACCAATACTCACGTACTGTAAGCTGACGTTGATCAATATCACAAGCTCCGTCAGCATTGGAGAGGACACCTCCGATTTTTCCTTGATATGTGTCTAAATGTCATTTAATGCTAATTGTAAAACGTTTTTTCTGGTCTTCGAAAATTTAGTGACTTTCTTTGGATTTTTTTATTTTTTTGTTTTTGGAAAAAAACTGTAAAAATCCACAACAAGTTTTAGTTGCAATAAGAAAATAACTTTAAAACTTTACCCTTTTTTTACCTACCTTTTAATGTAATTCAAAATTTTTTAATATTATAGCTTAGTAGGTAAGTAACTTGAAAGACAAAGCATCTCTCTGTACAATTTTTTGTTTTTTTTTTTGGTTTAATGTAATAAAATTATCTATATAATATATATAAATCTTTTTCCCTTGATCACGGCATCACGCGTGACTGGCTGGACCGATTTCACTAACTATTTTTTTTTTTTTTTTTTTTTTTTTTTTTTTTTTTTTTTTTTTTTTTTTTTTTTTTTTATTTTTTTTTTTTTTTTTTTTTTTTTTTTTTTTGTTATATTTGTTATTATTAGGAGAAGGTTCTTATATAAGAAAAAATTACGAAAGTTGCCTCTATAATATAAAAATGAATCGCAAAATGTGTTGCTAAGCGCGTAACTCAACAACGCCTGAACGAATTCGGCCATTTATTTTTTTTATGTTCTTTGAAATTCCGAGATGGTTTTTACGGCGAGAAAAATTCCTATATTTGAAGAAAAACCCCTAAACACAGCATCTTTCTTTGTCCCCTACAAACATTTTCTTTTGAATATGTGTAAGTAAAAATGAATTATTTGTTTGTTAGTAACGCTTCTGTCGCTTGAAAATTATTCTGTGAAAACTTTATGTATGTTTCAGACGAAGTGATCAATTACAGATTGAAATTTGTTACGAAGCTACGAAGAGGTCCCGCTAATATCGGTCGGCATTCTTTTTGAAATCCACCTATGCTACACTAAGGCACATGAACGAGTTCATCCAGGAAACGATGACATACGTGTGGAATTATGGATCGCGGTCAATCAGCAAGCGATCGTTATGATGTCACAACAGGACTTTTCAAACAACAGTTACGATGTTTAATGGACTTTATCTTGTAGCAACGTATGGTTTATGTGGTGCTGTTAGACGCTGGATGTACTCTGTTGAGTTGTTTGGATTGTAAATGGTGGTTACATCAGATCAAACTGATTAAATCAATTCTGCGGAAATTCGTGATGCAGAGAAAGATCCAGTATTATACGAAGTGATGAAAACTAATATGATTCACGGACCTTGCGGACAGCACAATCCCACTTCGGTTTGTAGATCTAACAATAAATGTAATGTAATGGCACTATCCACGTACTTTTCCTTCGGAAACATAAACTAGAAATGATGGAAATCCACTCTATCGCCGTAGCTCATCAGACGACAATGGCAGAACATTTGCCATTCAACGTAGAGGAGTGATTATCAAAGTCGACAATATATGGATTTGACCATATTCACCACTGTTGCGTAATTCACGCTCAAAACTCATGTTTGATATTGTCGTTTGGTGAAATCGATTAAATACGTTTGAGAATACGTCATAAAAGAAAGCAACATGGCGGTTATTGGTCTTGAACGAGATGAGATAAACAAGTATATAATGGTCGAAACGTGAACTGTATTAAAGTGTTTAGTAGAGTATTTACTTTTGCATTTAATGAACGTTTTCCGACACTTAAGCGTCTTCCAGTTCATTTGGAGAATGGCCAAAGGGTGTTTTTCAACCTAGAGAATACAGTACAGCCAGCGGCACACTTCCAACAACAAAATAGACATTGATGGCTTTTTTCTCAACTTGCGTCAGTGCTCGATTCTGAAATGCCTTGATACTTATTACACATGGAATGCATCGTCGAAGAAATAGTTACGAAGAAATCAAGGCCAACCAGTAGATTGACATGCAGGTGTGTTTTCAACTAATTCCTTAGGACGAATTTACATAGTCCACCCGAAAAACGACGATTGTTTAAACTTTCGGTTGCTATTGATTAATGTACGTGGTTCAGTTTCATTTGAGTCATTGCGTACTGTGAATGGTAGAGTGTGTGCAACTTTTTGAGAAGCATGCCAGCAATTACAATTACAGGAACATAATAATCAATGGAATCAAATGATGGACGATTCGATAGCTACTTCGCATGCCACTGAAGTTCGCACAATTTTCACAATGACTATTTTGACATATCAGCCTTCAAATCAAATGTCAGTTATGGAATATGAACAAAATTACATTGCGGAAGACATTTTACATCTTTTTCGATAAAAATTGGAAATAGGAAATTTTGGTACCAGTGGTTTGATATCACTACCACATATCTTTTGCAATTCACTTCAACGAAATATGAACTCATCACGAATGTTGGAAAACCATCTTCTATGTACATTTACATACCGAAAAAGAAACCAAAAAATGTTGTTTATCAAACTGCGTTACATTGAAAAAAATTTAGAAAAATCAAAAATTAATGATTTTTAACACAACTTTCTTTTCATTTCAAAACACATAATTTCACGCAGGACAACGCATGCGGGTTCAGCTAGTAGAATATATTTCACAAATGAATGCCACTCTTATAATAGCATTCTATGTAGAATTGTAGATAATATGTACTTCTACATAAGATAAAATCTGTAGTTGCTTACCTTTTACCGGCGCTCATTGAAGCAAAAAGAAGAGTCAAACTTTGTGAACAACATTTGGCTAAATATTTATTTAACATGTAAAGTTCTATTACATTAAAATGCTGTACACAAACAATATAAAAAAGAAGAAAAACAAACAAAGAAAATAGCAATCGTATTGCTAGTACAAACAAATGCAAATTATAGAAAAATGTATAAATACAAAATATAAAAGCTAAATTTGTGCGCACCTTTCGATATACGTGCCTATGAGGACACAAATTTAGACAGTCACAGACTAATGTATACCCTATATGTGTATGAATGCACACATATACATATGTATATACACCATAAATTGTCTTAAAAGTTGGGCATGAGTATTATAACTTTTATTGTATTAATTGCTATGACTTCCTTTATTAAAATATTAAAATAATTTTAAAATAATAATAAGCACTTATGAGGATATGTATTTCCTGTGCGACTTTGTTTTTTTTTTTCTTTTGTTACACTGTTAAATGAACAGTATTTAAATTTTAATTATAGGTGAATGTTTGGTTTTGGCATATAAGAAATTTACATAAGTACATAAACTTAAATAAAATATGTGTACATGAAATTCACTTTGTTTCTTTCATTTTCGCTTCACATTACATAGACATACTATATGTGTATGAATATTTTGTTTCAGCATTAATTGAAATTAATGATATTTCTTATATTACAACTTTGCTAACCAATTATTGAGTTTCTTGTTATTTTCTATACTTAATAAATATATATGTATATGCCATACACTTTAACAAAACGTTTATGCTTCTGCAATGATATGGCAATTACATACATAAATAAAATTTAAAACAAAATGCAAAACCTTTGACCATTTAAGAGCATAAATCTTCGACAGATTCGCCTTGTAAAAGCAACAAGCGTTGCTGCTCCTTCTTCTTTGATAGGCCTTTAGTCTTGCCTCGTCGGTTGACTACGCCGTCCTCCTCGTCCATCATGCGTAAGATTGTCGTCTAGCAAACAATAAACATAAAATATTTGTATATATATACATACATATCTACACTATATATAATAAGTTCAAGAGTAAGTCCAATGTTGTACACAAATTTGGAGATGACAGCTTAGGAAAAATATATAATGAAATGCCGAAATCGGTAATGTTATGTAAGTCGCTAATAGAGCCCATACACGACACATATGTGCGTTCGATCTGTGTGAATTCGTTTCGCCATGCACGACACACAAATCCATTTTGCGTTCGTTCTTCACACAGTGAACATGTGCCACAGGCATGCGGAATATTTCTTGGAATTTATTTCTAATGTAGCACTTTTATCTATTTCTTTGCATTTCGTTAATAAGTTATTCCAACTTTTATTTTTCTCAATTTTATTTTTATATTTACCACTTTTCGTTTGCCAAATTGCTAATTAATTTTTTATAAGATCAATAAATTCTGATACAAAATCTTTATTAATGGGGTAGCCTGCTTTAGAAGCTTCAAACAATCGATTTTTTGTTGCTTAAATTATCTAAGAATATGTCCCCAAAGTTATATAAAGGAATTCAACATATTTTCGAAGCTAGAATGGAAATAGTGACCGAGCGTCTAGCAGATATATAAGCGCTTGAGCGAAAAGCGAAAACTTTGTTGTATGGAAAATGGGGCAAAGTTGATTATCTTTGACATTAAAGTGTTTTCTATTTAAACTATAATAAATAAACGAAGAAAAGTCAAATTTGAACATATTTTTAAGCAACATTAAGTAAAATTTCTTTTGGACAAAAATCACGTTTTTCAATTTTTAATTTTTTACTATTTTTTTTTCTTTTTAATATTTTAAAATTTACGAAAGATGTTCAAATATATAACTATTAAACCTAGAAATTTCACTTGAATAAATTATTTCTTTCCCTCCCAAAAAAATCCTCAAAAAATTGTATTTAACCTACAAACAATTTTAATGTCGGGAAAATTATAGTTTTTATCTCAAGACAGTCTACTTTCGATAGGGCGATACTCTTGATACAATGACTTTTCAAACCATCTTGAAAAGCTCGTTTTCTTCCGGAGGCCTGCATAGTTGAAAATTTCTGTCCAGTGAGCGACCTTTTTGAGTGTACAAACAGAAATAAATCGGAAGGAGAAATTCGGAAAATGCGGTGATTGTGGTAGCATTCATAGTGTAATTTGACTGCTTTGGCCGTAGCGACGATGGAGGGGTAAGCCAGTGCGTTGACTTGTTAGACTCTTCTTTCCTTTCTACTACTTTTTTCTGAGCTTAATGGGTTTCTTTTTTCTGACGTCGAATCCGCTCGATCGCTCTCCCAATATTTCACACAGAACACAAACGATGTGGTCTTTAGAAACAGCTCACTATCTCAGTGTTATGGCACATACAATCCCGTTTGTCTAAAATCAGCAGATACGACATCTACCACAAGCGGTAAAAAGGGATTTATGGATAGCAAAACGTGACCATAGTGAACTTATCTTACACCATCGCACCGACAGGATATACATTGTACCAATCAATTGACTTATCAAAATGCGGTTACAAACCTCTACACCTAAAATGATTCTTCGTATTTTTTTGTCCTCAATCTTAGTAACAAATTACTTTTTCAACCATAATTTATTATCATTCCCTGCATATAATAAATTATGCAATTAATGAGCACGAAGCACTCACCTGATCCGAGCAATCCATGGGCGCCACCGAAATATCACGTACTGCACGAAATTTACCGCAATTATTCAAGTGTTCGTTTTCCAAGCGAAAATAGTTCCAAATAAAACGACGGAACACCTCCAACGGGCTGAGTATGGTCATCATTACGTCACCCTCCATATAACCCGCCTCAATTAAGCTCATTGATACGGTCCAACCGAAACGCAGCACTAAATCCTCCACAATGCCAAAGTAATAGAACCACTGTGCAAGAGAAATAAATACGAAACACACTGTTAGATACAGAGCAACATTAATTGAACAAAAAATCATGTCAATTTATAACTGACAACTGTAAAGGGATTGGGGTGCAACCAAAGAGCTGTTGCCAGCAAGATACTCCAACTTGAAATATATCTATGTACACATTTTTATATGAGTGTGCCTGTGTGTGAGAGTTGTGATGCCGATAAGCACTTACCGTCGACGAGTAGACAATTTCTTCACGCAAAAAGCGATTATCACCAGCCTTGGCATCAAAGAGGCCCCAATCCATTTTAATGTCCCACGTGTATGCATAACATGAGGACACAATGGCCGCGACTATCCAGCAATAAAACCACGGATTATCCTTGGATGTGAAGTAGCCGTCTGTACATAGAGAGAAAAAGAGATAGAAAAAGTGAGGAAATGATAGAGGTGGTAAACCGTAAGTAAGTTATGTATAGACAAAAAATAAACTGTTGCTGCGAACAGTGGGGAATGTTGGTGAAGAAATGTTATTAACAGTCAATTAAGCTTAGTACTGGAGAAATCAATTGCATTTATTATGTATATTGCGAAGTCAACTAGATCATAGAAGGCACGTAGACTTAAATATTTGAAAATGTGTAAAAGCACTTTGTGTTGGATTATTTGCGAGCAAAAGTAACTCCATCGCCTAATATGTATGTATAGGAGCGGGTAATCCAAATATAGATATTTTTTTCAATATGCTCTTTTTGACAGAGACACATTCACCAGTTACCCGTCAAATGCTCGAACGAGTCATTGGACTCAACGAATGAACCATCCGTAATATAAGTTTCAAACTAATACCTACAAGTTTTAAGTTCCTTCAATAGGTAAGGGATTTCGCGGGCGGCCTTATCTCGTCATACACTTTCTCCGTTATTCGGCATTCACCTACGAGCATTAATTTGAAAATGAGTATACACAAAGTAAGTGGTTTTGCCAGCTTCAATTATTGCAACGAAGACAACAAGATACGCGAACCCTTTAAACTTTTGATTGCAGCATTTTGTTCAACATTTCCATATATTTCCTAATCCCAATGGGACATTTTTCTTTAAAGCTATGCTTTGTTGTCATTTTTAGCTGTATTTTTAAATATGCATAACGGTTGGGGAAGATTATTTCAGTTAATTAACATTTTTATTCAGTAATGAATTAAAAAGAGGAAAACCGGTGAATTTAAGCAGCAACCTTTCAGATACAAATGAAATGTTTAATTTCCTGAACATTTCTTATTTATACATTTCTTGCCATTCACATTCAAACTTTTAATGTAAAAGTTGGTTTTTTTAGAGAATTCATCTAACTACAAGTAGAAACATACATAAATATTTACATACTTACAGGGTGTTTCAATTTGTATAGATATATTTGCAACTCTGTTTGGTGTTTTGGTTTATCCGCGTCCTTACAAAAATACAACTATTTGGTTTTATGCATATATCGAAAGAGAAAATGTTTACATATACATAATACATAATCGAAGTTTGATCAGGTAGTATTTTAGATACTACGTTGATAAACGGTCTTTTTTAAACCATTTCATATACTTCTTTATAAATGCACTTTTTATATTTTATACATAGTATTATAAGCCTTCCACCTAAAAGCTCACAACATATAATATTAAAATTATATTAAATTCCATCCATATTGTAAAGTTCAGAGTAATACCGAAGTATAGTCTCTGCATGTGTAAAACTATGGTGTAAAAATGGTCGAAATTTCTTGCCTGAAGAAAACCCCCGAACCTATGACTTTCATATTCATGTTTCAAACATATACCTTTGTTGGAGTTCATTTTAAACGTACACACATACATACATATATATTTTTCAAACCCTTTAAAAGTTCTGTATTATTTAAAATTCAACAATGCTTTCCACTCACCTGAGGTTATCTGAAATTTGTATGAGAATATCACCACAAAAAAGGATGTTGCGTACTTAGCAGCGTTAACCAGATGTGGAAAAGCTTCGCGAGTGTCACGATAGCGACGAATACACTGAGCGAAACGCCAATAAGCCGGCAAGATAGCAACAATTGGCCGCACCATAGAGATATCCCGCACACAACTGCTGCCACCTGTTTGAAATTAAATAATAATATAAATAAATAAATATTTTTTGTGTGAACAAAACACCAACTCACCATAACTCGTTTTCTGCCAATTGGGATTCTCACCGAAAAAGCATATAATGAAGGGTATATCGAGGAAGGCAGGCACAATGCTGTTCAGCTGGTCAGCAAGCCAAAAGTCAGCAAAAGTCACAAAAAAGAATGGTGCCATTATAACGCGGCTCAATACGCGCACGGCCCAGTACCGCGCCTCGTGATGAAATGTCTTCGTTGGATTGAGCAAAAATGCAAGCATCAAGGTGTAAAGAAAAATGGGCGCCGAATATTGTGGTATGCCCAAAGATTCACAATAAATATAGCAGAGCACACATATAGCCCAAATTACGCCAAATACCGAGGCCACTTCCATGATATTCTGCTCGGATAAGTGATTTCGTGGATCCAGTTCAAATATGAGCACGTGATTAACGCCAGACGAACGCCAGCCGTACACATTGACACCCCACAAGAAAATAAACTCGATAATGAGAAAGGGACCCCGAAACATGCGCAGACCTACACGCCAATCGTCGCCAAAGCCATGAAATATTGCCGACAAGATGACTGTAAGGAAGAGTACGACAAAAGCACCCGAGAAAAGACCAACTTTGAAAGTTGTCCACGGGCTTTGTTGTTCGCCCAAAGGCGGTACACGCAAACGCTTCATGGCCTTCTGCCGATCGCCGCCCTCAATATCGTTGGTGAAAGCGCGCTCGGTTTCCTGTATCAAACGATCTATATCTTTGTTGACATAGAAATGTGCCGCCTCCACATACTCCTCACGCCATTTAACGCCATCGCAAACATTCAAGAGCTTATCGTGTTTCTTGAGTATCTTGCGAAAGCCGGTGAAGTTCAAGTTCTGGTAGTTTTGTAGTAGAATGAGACCCAAATAAAATTCACTAAATGCTAATTTGAGATCCTGTATTTTACGCGCTGGTACATTCTTCTTGCCTAAGGGTGTTTTCGACTTCCAAGCGGGCTGTTTCTTGACCGCGCCCATCTCTAGCGTTTCGCTAAGTTCACTGCGGAGATTGCCATATTTTCGCGTAGCCTCAGCCATCTTTTCAGAGTAAAATGTGTTGATTTTTGCCAACTCTTTGTCACAGTAATGGAAGAATTGTTCGTCAAATTTGGCAAAGTAACGTGAGAGCACCTCTGGATCGGCGAGCTCAGCGGACGGCGCTTGCTCTACGGCCGCATATAGCATTGCCTTCATTTCCTGCAGAAACAGTAAATAATTTTGGGTAAAATTGAACATAAATTACTTCTAAGATATAAAAGCTTTATATAATTGTAACACTAAACAGTGCTTTTATAACACGCATGACTGTAAATTTTTTATAAGAAATAAAGTTTGTAAAACTTTCACAGCGCCTTTTATATACACAAATACATGTGTAAAATAAAACCAAAAACCTCTCTCTCTCATATCTTCTTCAGCTAAAAAGCTCACTCTGTTTACAACGATTGTTTGTAAATAATCCACATCACAATACATGTTTTTCATTTTGTTTATATCTCCAGCTTCTAAACACTCTTCAACAGGTGTCTGTTTGCGATCATGCGCAATACGCCCACCACATTTTACCGCCAAAATAAAAGCTCGTCACTTTGACAGCTATCCAATGAGCTTTCTATGACGTCACCCACCCAACTGACAACAGCTGTCAATGAGCACCCACCCGCTGCAACAGTATCTACAAGATTTTCACTTTTCACTGACTAACATACCGAAAACGCAAATAAAACGCGTCGATAATACGAATCCTACCTCGTAGTTTATGTACTGTTTTCGCCATTCCGGTGTTATATGCGCGCCCAAGTGTTCGGCAAATTTCATTTTAACAACCGCAGCGTGTTAATTCACTATAATTTCAATAAATAATTTAACAACAAACGCTGCACACGCATCATTTTCACAATCACATTCAGTACAAATACACACATTGAGTCCAAAATAGATGAAAAGTGAAAACTGTCGAAAACATATGGTCAGGACAGAGCTTTTGTGCTTGGCATGGCAAACTTGCAAGGCTTTTTAGTGGCATTGAAGCTTTTGAAAAACAACAAATTTTGTTTCAAATGTGAGAAGTATTCATTTGGTGCAATTACTAGTTTTGAATCCCGTATATGTATTCGTATATAAAATCGTAAAAAAAAAACACTGATTAACAAAGTTTTAACCATTTTGTCTTCTATCAAAATCTGTATGTAGTGATGTTCACATATTTGGTTTCTGAATCCTTAAAAAGTTATAGTTCAAATTCGATAATTTTAGCGCGTATTATGAAATAGTTTGTGAGTAATATTTGTGCAAAGTTTTATACTGATAACTTTACCGATGTTTGATTTGTGCACTGTAAAGTGAAAGACTCAGATAGAATTTAAAAGTTTGTTATATGGAAAGGAAATATGCTTATTATCCGATTTCAGAATGTCGTCTTGGGACAAAATAAAAAAACTTCGTTAATCTATCTGAGTAGACCCATACAAATACGTAGAGAAATTCGAAAATATTTATTCTTTGAAAAACTACCTATAAACATTTGCACAGCAAAATTTAGTTTTTAGTCCATAATTATGTAATAAATTGGCCACAAAAAAGGTTTATATCAATCGAAATTTCTCTATTTTTTTATGCAAAAACCCAATTCTACAAATAATCTCAAAAGTTTAAGTCGATCGGAAAAAATTACACTTAAAGTCGTTTGAGTCTCACACGACTCCCGAATTTTTTGAAAACTCTGCAGTGATCATACGTATGTCAAATTTTTACAAACTAACATATAAAAGTATCTCATTGTATTCTTGCAACCTCTTGATACAGAGTATAATAGTACGTATCACCTAAAACGAATATAATATACATTATATAAACGATCAGGATGTCGAGAAAAGTTGAAACCCGGGTGACTGTCTGTCAGTCTGTCCGTCCATCCGTGCAAGCTGTAACTTGAATAAAAATTTAGATATATTGTTGAGACTTGGTATGTGAGTTCTTTAGTACAAAACACAATACGAATAAGTAGATGAGCGTAATGGATTTATGGGCCACGCCCATAAAACGCCATTAATAGAAAACATAAAAAGTGTCCTAACTAAACACTAAATATAATATATTAAAATATGAAACTCTATTTTGGCGCACTCTGTGATGTGGTCTTGATCACAGTAATAAGGAGGAACCTATGAGCAAACAATTTGAAAAATTGGCTCGGCGTCTAATAAGTTTAATGTACATATCTGCTAAGCCACTAAAGCTACAGCAACCACATTTGCCTAGCGAAAATGTTATAGGAACTCCTACCGACGGTGCGAAAATGTATGAAATCGGAAGATAACCCCGCTCACTCTTCATATAATGGTACTGTTAATGACTGCTACAAGCGCAATAAATCAATAACTATAGTAACAAGTAATTAAGGGCTAAGTTCAGGTGTCACCAAACATTTTATAGTCTCGCATGATAAAGTGATAATCGAGGCGTGGTTGTGAACCGATTTCACACATATTTGGTACATGTCATCAGGGTGTTAAGAAAATATTATATACCGGATTTCATTGAAATCGGTAGAGTACTTCCTGAGATATGGTTTTTGGTCCATAAGTGGGCGACGCCACGCCCATTTTCAATTTTTAAAAAAAGCCTGGATGCAGCTCCTTCTGACATTTCTTCGGAAAAATTTAGTGTTTCCGACGTTTTTTGTTAGTCGGTTAACGCACTTTTAGTGATTTTCAACATAACCTTTGTATTAGAGGTGGGCGTGGTTATTATCCGATTTCTTCCATTTTTGAACTGTGTATGGAACTGTCTAAAAGAACGACCCTATACAGTTTGGTTGACATTAGTAGGGGGCGGGGCCACGCCCACTTTTCAAAAAAAAATTACGTCCAAATATGCCCCTCCCTAATGCGATCCTTCGTGCCAAATTTCATTTTAATATCTTTATTTATGGCTTAGTTATGACACTTTATAGCTTTTCGGTTTCCGCCATTTTGTTTGCGTGACAGTGGGCCGATTTTAACCATCTTCGAACTTAACCTTCTTATGGAGCCTAGAAATACGTGTACCAAGTTTCATCATGATATCTCAATTTTTACTCAAGTTACAGCTTGAACGGACGGACGG